GGGAAGCCTAATATTATTAATCTAAAATAAAATGGCAAGAAAATTATTGCTAACAATATACTTATATCCTTATACTTCAGTGTCTTACTTAGCCATTACCCAAGAAGTTTTTTTTTCTTGAAGTTGGTGGGAATAATACAAAGATTCACAATTGAGCAGTAAGTAGAGAGTGAGAGAGTCTTACACATTGTTCTCTTACCTCGACCAGCTCATCATGATACAAGTATCAATACACTTACAAACACAATAAACAAGCTAATAAATTCTATGTAAAAAGTAAAACAAGTAGTATTGTTTTATCATAGACATATGAGTAAATACATGTTCATATAATAACTTTAAAAATTAATTATACAATAGATTAAAATCATTAAGATGGACAATTTAAATTGATGAATACTATAAGACATAAACTACATCCCAATAAATCTTTTAAAAGCCTCTTACATGTAAAAAGTCTTTTAATATCAGAGTCCCCCTACTATCCCAGTCCTGTCTCTCAGCCATTTGTGCCATAAAATCTATATTTTAATCTTACCAAATTACTTCTTTTCTATTTCTTCAAGCTAAAATCTTTTTCAGTTCTTCAACTTTGAGAATGTTTACAATCCTTTTTTTAAAAAATTCTTTATTAATTCTACTTTATTCACTTTGAGTCCCCCTTGTGGTTCTCTCCCTTCTCCCGTCCCAATCCCTCCCTTCCTTCACCCTCTGCATGCATGCCCCTTCCCAAGTCCACTGATAGGGGAGGTCTTCTTTTCCTTCCTTCTGATCCTAGTGAATTAGGTCTCATTAGGAGTGGCTGCATTGTCTTCTTCTGTGGCCTGGTAATGCTGCTTCCCCCTCAGGGGGAGGTAATTAAAGAACAGGCCAATCAGTTCATCTCAGAGCACAGATGTAGCCCATGACAGTTCAGTATCCAAGTGGGTTACAATCCTTTTGATCTGAGAATCATTAAGCTATCAGATATGGTTAAAGACTCCAGAAAGGTACTTGGTTGGATTATCAGCCTCAGAAAAGACCCCCATACCCAGAATTATTGGTTCTGTTGCTTTCCTTGTGGAGCTCCTCTTCTCTGCAGGACTTACTATTTCCCAATTCTTTCATAAGATTCCCTGCACTCCGCCCCAAAGTTTGGCCATAAGTCTCAGTATCTGCTTTGATACCCTACAAGGTAGAGCCTTTTAGAGGCCCTCTGTGGCAGGCCCTTGTCCTGTTCCCTGTTTTCTCATTCTTCTGATGTCTATCCTCTTTGCCTTTCTGAATGGGGATTGAGAATTTTAGCCAAAGTCCTCCATCTTGATTAATTTCTTTAGGTATACAGATTTTAGTAGGTTTATCCTATATTATATGTCTAATATCCACTTATGAGTGAGTATATACCCTGTGTGCCTTTCTGCTTTTGGGATACCTCACTCAGGATGATCTTTTCCAGTTCAGACATAGCCCATGACAGTTCAGTGTCCAAGTGGGTTCCATAGTAATGAGAATAGGGACTGTCTCTGATATGAACTGATTGGCCTGCTCTTTGATCACCTCCCCCTGAGGCAGAAGTAACCTTACCAGGCCACAGAGGAAGACAATGCAGCCACTCCTGATGAGACCTGATAGACTAGGATAAGAAGGAAGGAGAGGAAGACCTCCCCTATCAGTGGACAGGGGTGGAAAAGGGAGAGGGCGGGTGGGACTAGGATGGGAGGAGGGAGGGATTTACGGGGGTGGAAGGGGATACAAAGTGAATAAAGTGTAATTAATAAAAATTTAAAAAAAGAAAATAAAAGGACTCCAGAAAGGATGTAGGTCTGTGGTTATTGTATAGAGCCAGTATTTTTTAATTAAAAGTTAAATATGAAAGTTTGCTTTGAATATTTATCAAAATTGCCATAGTCTAGAATGTTGAGTCGATATGTATGATAACATAAATAAAACCTCCTAAGAAAGATAATTTTCTTTAAAGAAGAAAATACTTTTATAACTTCACAGATTTTCTAACTATCTGGCAGCCTACAAGATGGCTGGATCCTCTTCTCATCTGCTATGTTAGTTTGATTACAGCGATGCTGAGAAAAGAGTTAATAGGAAGTTTTTTGTTTGTTTGTTTTTAGATAAGAGTGGATTCTTTCAAAATTCACAGTCACAGGACAAGGGTAAATGTGGTATAGACTCTGAAACCATGGGTCTGGACTTTCTCACCCAATTACATTGAAATGTATTGGTCTATCTCTTGGTGCAATGGGTCGCTTATCCCTACCATTTGCAAAACATTGGTTCCTGTTTACATATTCTGTCCAGTGTTGACAATTCCATTAGGCTGTGCCATGAACTCACAGACCTTATAAATCACAGATCTTATCAGAGAAGTCTCAAAAGAGTTAGGAAGCCGTCAAGTAATTATCATGAATGAGTGTCTTTATAAGTAACTAATTTTCACTTTAAAGTTTTATTTTTAAAATATTATTTGCAATAAATATCATAATGACGGCATCATATACGGTCCCTAGAATATATCTGCCACACACCTGGGTGTGCATCCATTCCTGCCATGTTATTCCCTGTTTGAGAGTGGATGGAGTGCTTCTGGGGAAAAAGCCCACTGATTACAATCAATCAAATGCCTGGCTTCCTTCAGAAGACAACATAAATGCCTCATGTATTTTGTCTTTTTCCTCATACAGAATGCTGAAGGGACCTGATAAAATGAGTATAAAAACAAACAAACAAACAAACAAACAAACAAACAAAAACCCTAATATTATCTTCAAGGTTAGGCTTAAGTTAAATGAGCTGGTTTTTTTTATTCATAAGTTAAAATAAAAAGTACAGTGACCTCCAGTATGGATGGATGTGAGTGAAAGCTAAGGTTCAATTACAGCCAGGGCTTTTATAACTGCAGAGCAAAGTTAGCTCTAAGAAAAAGACAGAGATTAAAAAACTTATGTATTTTGAGAATGATTTTGTTCTCTTCTGTCTCTTGGTAGTACACTCAGGATCCCTAGGGATTCACACTCTAAGAAGCACACACCTAGAATCATGCATCTTCCCTTCTCTTCTACCACCTGGCCCACCCAACTGATCATTCCTATCTACCCAGGAAATGTCCTTAATTCAGTACTGCACAGCATCACCTTTTAAAACTTTCATGATTTCTGCACCAGGCCAATTGTGTATTCTCTAAAGAGCTCCGGTATCTTCTAGATCTACTGTATTGAAATGATTGTTTGCTTGCAGTTTTCTTCATTAAACTGTAGCTTCTAAAGGTCTCTGAACAGACATTAATCTTTTACCCCTAAGGGGCCTAAACTGTACATGATGAATAAGTTAATTAATATGCTGTGGTGATGAATTCTATCAGCGTGGGAAATGACAAACTGAAGAGTAATATGAATGTGAACTTCATCCAGACATACCCAAAGAATCAATGAGTATCAAATATATATTAATCTGTACAGTTATATAACTGTTTTACAGATACATGGAAAGAGAGAAAGAGACAGAAGCAGAGAGAGGAGCCAAAAGATCCTGAGCCATAAATGTACAAATTTGAATGACATGATGAACAAATGTAACAATCTATAGAATAAAAATTGTGACCTTGTGATTGTAGAATGCGTACCTGAACTGATTTTAAAAACTGAACATAGTAGATGCTGGATCTTACTGTTATCAAGCAAATATATATATATATATATATATAGAGAGAGAGAGAGAGAGAGAGAGAAGTATTTTTGAATAAATTATTTCCATAAACTAATAAATCCTACAAAATTATTATTTGCAAAGCTTTGGGAAAATGACCTTTTTCATAGAAAATATGTAGAAACATAAATTAATGAGGTATTTGTGCTTGTATTTATTAAGAAATAAAATACACTGTGACTGGCTCGGTAACTTGGTTTTGGGTTTTTTGATAAACTTCCTTCCAGATTTCTACGTGAAACACATATTTACATTTATGAAAGAGCACATTTATACAAATAAGTATTTAACATATTTGTGAAACAAACAAATCATTTATAAATAAATTAATTAAATATAATAGTGTATACTGGATACAAGATTGGGCACAATCTTGCCAAAGAATAAAACTGAGTTCTTTGAGCTAAAATAAATGTTTGCAATATGTCAATATAGGTCTACTAGATAATAAACACATTGACTATTAATTCACTTTTATAATTAGAGATATATATATACATTTAAAAAATCTATAGGAAATGGTAGTTTTCAGCTCTGCACAAAATGGCATTGACATTGGTGAAATAGGCATTTCATGTTTAAGACTGTATTATGTAAAAATTTATGATAAATGTATATAATATATTGCAATTTAAAAATATAGATACAAAGACTGATTTCGTATAGTGAAATAGAAAGAGTAAGGAATAAACAGAAATTGCAAAGTCACAGCAGAGAAAATCTGTATGAAGATGTTAGTATTCATGAATACTGGAGGACAGAAAAGAGGTTTTTGTAAATTGTGTAGATAATCCACCCTAAATGAAACAAGAAGCTTCAATGGTTGCAGTAAGTTATTTCTTTTCCATGATTTTGGGCTGTTTTACAAATTAGAACCTTGTGCATTCTGGAAAAGGTCTCTCTACTGAAATGAATCTTTAAACTCAAATCACTTCTTTAACATCCCCTCCTCAAGATACATACACATGCTGATATTCAATAATTCTTCAGAAAATAGAATAACTGAATATTATTAGAGATACACTAAAGCTAGCATTTCACCCACACTTGAAGGAGATCCATTAAAATAAATCACCAGTATTACAAGACTTATCTGCAGCAAATATGATGATAAGATGTTGTAGATATGATTAAAGCTACTGTTGACAGTGTGTGCAGGTCCTTGCTGCCTTTATATTTAGGGACTGGATAGATGAGACAATCCTAGTCATTCTTGAACATGAACTCTTGGGAGTACAAGTGCTTCATGCTATTTCTCTAAACCAAATGGCACTTGCACACAAAAACTTAGGGTTTGTACTTACTTTCCACAATTACTTGTCTGTCTTCCCAATTATCTTTAATAAGCTGTATATTTCCAAAGTGTGCATCACTGTAAAAGATCCGATTGGTACCTTCTTTTCTTTGATTGTAGTCAAAGGCCAGGGCAATGATATTCTTGAAATAATGTGGGTTCTCATAAGGACGTACTGGGGAATTTAAATTGGTTTCATCAGAAAGATGTATGCTTTTTAATATTGTTCTTCCAGAATATAGCAAATAACCCTCGTGCCTTAGACAAGTAACTCCATCCCCAGCCAAATATCCATGGGCACAGGCACAAGTTCTCCGAGAATGTCCTCGATAAAGGCATAGCTGCTTACAGCCACCATTTTCTTTGGCACAGACATTGGTTCCTGAAAACAGCAAAACACAAAACACATTTTTTTAAATGAATTATTAAACCACAGGTTTTAGTTTCTTGAATATCAATTTGAAGAATTATATGTATATGTATACGATCTCAGTGGTGTTCATGAGGAACAGAGGGAATTGCAATGGGTGGGCTTCGTTGTACCTCACCGCTCATATATTTGACATAAATTACTATTTCTAAGAGAAGATCAAGTATGTTCTTACTATTAGTTTTTAAGGATAAATAAATTCATTATTACCATCTTCAAAATTATATAAGATATCTTTCATAGAAGGAAATGGAATAAAAAGTATATTTAAAAATAAATAAAACCATCGGCAAAGAAGCAATGATTCAGAAATACATATTGAAGACCACCATTTCCAGCACCTAACAACTTTTGTTCTAAAAGATAATCCAAAACAAAAATTTCAGTTGCTTCTCTAATACCCTAGTTGTGCTATGTACTTTTTGTCAGATATATTTTTGTAATAAATTTTAGAACATATTTTATTTAAAACTTTTAAAGATTTTAAAAACATTTTTAGTACAAACTCATTCTCAAGACTTGTCCTATGTCACATGACCATACATACATGGAAACAAAAAAGAAACATACATATATATAAACTGGTAAATGTTTAATTTCTTGGGCTTCTCTCTGGTTTTTAGAAAAGAAAATCATCAAATGGGAATTTTGAGGTCTTGAACTTGATACAATTTAATTCTTAATCTTGAAGAGCAAAGAGAAATGATGCAAAATATAGTAATTATATATTTCATTAAGTGTGCTGACCTTTCTCTCTCACTCGGTTAAAAATTTTGATCTCCTTTAGGTTGACTCCAAGTCCCGTTCTCATGGTTATTGTTTCCGTGGCATCATTCTTATGGCCTCTTCTGACCGACCCATTGGCATGTGCTCTGCCAAAAGTTGAACATACTAATAAAAACAAAGTTTATTTATTAACAGTTTTCAACCGATTAAAATAAAGCGAGGTATAGGTGAAGATAAGAGACAGGAAGACGAAAGAAACTAGATGCAGTGTGTGCTGCTGAAACGCTGGACCATGGGATAGATCGATGCCGTTACTGGCTGGCCTCTTCTGTAAAAATTACATGGTTTTGTGAAATCTTTTCTGTAACCTTGCTAAAGTAAGGCTAATCCTCCAGGGGCAAATAAATGGCACTAAAATAACATTTTGAGACTCAAACACTTATGAAAAAATAAATTACCTGTCAGACCAGTAGATGTAAGCCCCAAAGACTGCAACGGAAAACAGATCCACATTGCTCCCGGACAGCACCGCTTCACGATTCTCGCCAGTGTCAAGGTCAATTCTCTCTATCTTGTCTGTGCGAGCATCACACCAGTATAATTTATTTTCCTAAATAGTTATCGGAAAGCAATAATACAAACTGCTTTGGTTATTTATTAAGAAAATAAGGAGGGTTAAAAGTAGACTACTGCAAGTTGGCTGCGAAACACTTTAGAATCTTAAAAACAATCCAACAGACCTCATAGTCAATGGAGATGCCATTTGGCCATACTATTCCCATGCTTACAATCATGACCTTCTCAGAACCATCGAGGCGAGCTCTCCCAATGCAGGGCATTTGTCCCCATTCAGTCCAGAACAAGAAGCTGAAATTAAACGATCATTTACAATAGTTAACAGATTAAGGGGCATCAAATAAAACAGCAAGATGACATTAAGACTCTTAACAGCATAACACTTATAATAGAGCTGAATAATAAACCACACAACTTATTTTACACATATTTCTACAGTTAATAATAGAATTTTATTATAAACCATATTTAACCAGGTACAGAAATCACAAGGCTGAATTTAGTGCTTTGGAAAAATCACTTGCATATGCTCATCCTATGTGAAATTCTCCAATCAGTTGCTTAGTTTTTGTTTTGTTTTTTTTCCAGTTTGTTTTTCATGAGGCCTCTGGTGACTGCATGATGGTTATAAAAGCATGATGAACCCTATATCTTAACAGCAAAGCACACAAAACATTACACTGGCCTTTCTTTACCTTCTTAATCACGTTGAACGTTTTTCTTCTATAGACCGTAGGTACAATAAAGACAATGGCTTTTTTTCTGCTTTATTTAGAATTGCAAACATAGCATCCAATAATTGTGATATTGAGAAATTATATCTAATACTATTTAATTTATCCATCTACAAACCAATCATTGTAACTTTTAACCCTAACCCTAACTCTTAAATGTAACTATTCGAATTGAAAGTTTAAGATTAGCCTGTCATCCTAAAATACAGTTTCACAATTACGAAAGAAAGCATTTTCATTTTAATAATCTCAAAAACTGATGTTAAAAAATATGTACTCCAGAAAAATAAGCTAAAGTAATATGAGACAAAACAAAATGAGAATGTAAACAATGATGTTATCAATTCATTCATTATTTTACTCATTCATTCAATCATTCATTCATAAATTTCAGTATTTATACAACAGCAAAAAAAAAAATCATGCTTTTAGATAAATACAACTCTTCCTAAATTTCAAATTATGTAAATACAAGGTTTCCACCTTTGGAAAATTAAAGTCAAGAAAATATGTTAATCATTCATTCAGACAGGAACAACTGTCTGTGAAGATTCATATGAGAGTATGACTGAAGAAAAGATCATAAGGTTTCATATAAGAAACTTAAAGGAAACCTGTTGATGTTTTGGATACTCATATAAAATTATTAATTAACCTTAAAAACTTAAACTACATAAAATATGTATGTTTTATTTATGCATATTATTTAACATCACTTTAGAAATTGTTTTTTAAGCTGTATAAAATATGTGTTGTTTCTTGACAACAGTGTAAATAGAATTCCAAGTAACTGAATCCTGAAGGCACTGTTGTTCATGTTTGCAAGTTCTATAGTTTAGAAAAGGAAAAGTTAGTAGGAAATTTAACTAATGCTTAATTAGCATGAATCTAGTTTAAAAGGCATGAAAAATGTGTATAGCAAAGTCAAGAATTTTAAGTGATAGTTTCAATATATCAAAATATTAATTGGTAGACAAATGTATGATCCCATTTAATTTTCTTAGGACTAATGTCATGTTAAAAGGTAGAAGCTGCTGAGTAAAAATGGAGGCACTCTGGCCCTGGGGGAGTCATTGTTGGCATCCTATAACATATTTAAATAAGGATAGAAATGCATATAATAAGCTAATCTGTTTACAAATATACCAAATGAGCAAGGAAGAATAGTTTTTTATTTAAAATTTTTTATATTAATTATAGTTTATTCACTTTGTATCCCAACTGTAGCCCCCTTTCTCATTCCCTCCCAACCTTACCCTCCCTCCCTCATCTCCTCCCATGCCCCTCTCCAAGTCCACTGAAGAAGAGTTTTAAATTATATTGGTAAATCATCATGTGCTGTTTACGCTTGGTGAAAGCAGACTCTATACTGTGCCCTCCCTCCTCTCCAGTAAAACTCACTCCTTAGGCCCTGAAACCAGCGGCTGAAGGTCACAAAAACACTGTCCTTGAGGAAAGCTACAAGACTATTTCCAAACAAGATTACTGTTTATTCTAAAGTGTTAAAATGTTTATAGTGAAAAGGAAAGCCAGAAGTCCATCTATGGAGAAACTGTAGAATGCTGTTTGGACTTCCCTTACCTGTCTGCCTCAAATTCCCCTGTCAGTTTCTGCTGGATAATAACATAAGCACCTTATCTGTTGGCCTCTCTCTCTGATGCACTTAGTTTAGTTTTGTTTGTTTGTAGTTTTTAACTTGGAAGCCTCACCTGAAGTGTTACTTCTCTACCCAGGGCTCTGTCAACACGGCCCTCCAGCTGGCTTCCCTAATCAATTTCTGCTGTAGTTTGTAAGCCCACAATTGAATGATAGTGCCTATCGTTATCCCTCTCATAGGCCAATCTACTAATTTCTGGGACATTTCAGCACTTGATTTGATGATGCTTTACTGTCTCCTGGTTCTATCTGCTAGCTGATGTTTATTCCTTTTGATTGTACTAGTTATTTATTTAATAAACTAATTTTAATCTAAATGTCCAATAATTTTATATCATTCTGTGGAGTTTACGGAACAAACAGTCTCAGTAAGCAGGTAAATATACTTATCCCCATTTCTCACCATTGTGGAAATGATGGTTGTGAAAGTGAATGTTTTCTGATCATATGATCAAACAATGGACAAGATAGGAAACAAGTTCATACTCTAAAATTACAGACCTGTACTATCATCTTTGTTTTTTATTGTTTTATCAATGCTAATAATTTTATAACCTATTTATTTTTTCTGAGTTGAAATGAATATAACAAGAGATGTCCAAGCATAAAAAAACAAAAAAACAAAAAAACCAAACAAAAAATAGAGGTGAGGTGAAGAGCTGCCATGAGCATGTAAGAGCTTAGTTTTGAAGAACAAGCTTAAATTATTTAATTGTAATAGCCCCTCTTTATTTTGAACTTGTGATACTTCCATGCAAGAAGCTGAGATGAGTACTGGTAAAAATTTCAGGGTTAAAAATATATTAAAAAATAAATTATTCTGGATGTAGGATTTAATGCAAATTTTTCTGCATGTAAGAGTGACCTGAAAGGATATCCTACTATACAAACCAAATATAACTGTGCAAGGGGATGAGTTTATGGTTAATTAATTCATAAATTTGATAAGGTCAAGAGATTTTTGAGTGGACCAAAGTTAACTAGTGTCTTATAAATACAAGGCCAAGATGGATGCATTTTTCCTTGGTTTTAACCTAAAAGTAGAGAGCTAAATAGGTAGCACCTTTGGGAACATAGGACAGACATAGAAAAATGACACTCCAATGCTGGGATTACCGCCCCATTTGAAATGCTTTGCAGTCGTGAAATGCTTACAATGTCGAATGACATGGCTAAGACTTGGACAGATGACGACTTGTGTGGTAAGGAAAATGCTTTCTCTCTTCCATTTTAAATTTGAAACAGTTTAAACATTTTTCAGAATAAAATTCTATATTTTATTCCAATCTTTTTTGGGTAACAAACTATTTGTTAAAATAATATGCAAACCATATCTTTATATATATTTGCACTTACACAGAGATATAATGCTTGATCAAGACAGACAACACATATTGTCCAAAAGAGAAACAAAATGTTTGGTTTTGCTTACAGTTTTATGCTATGCATGACTGGTCAAATCTTTCCATGTCATGCTATGATTTCCTCCACTTTTCATGCATAAAAAAAATGACTTCTCAGTATAAAGAAAATTATTACATTCAATTCTGCCTAATACCTAGGAGCTGCCAAAAGGCGAAAAAAGTCCAGGAGGAGAAAGCTGACATTTCAAGTGAAACTAAATTCCTAGGTGGTTCCAGGATTGCATTTGGCTGCATTTAAAACGACTTCAAGCCTCCATTGTTTCAAAGCAGGCTCCATGCCCACTTTACATGGCACATTTATATCTTGAATGTAGCTAATTTACACCATTATGGCTCCCCTTTCCCTTGACAGTATCACCTGCCATGTTTTAATTTCAAACAGAATTGTAAAATGCTCTAATTTATTTCTAAGATAGGAATTTTAGCACTTAAAATTCTATGTTTATAGAACCCAGATATCATTTTTTGAATAATGTTTACAAACCTTTCATTTTAATTCTTTTTTGACTGAAGTCAAGTCATTAAACAAATGCATGGCAAGCTGTACAGGAACACCTGTCATTGGTGTTTTCAAATACTAATATTTCCTATGAAACTTTTCTACTTTTAGCTCTAAACATGGAAAACTCTTCCTTCATGTATTTATGAAATGCTTTCCACAAAAAATTAGGGTACATAAAGAATATTCTAACATTATTATAAATATTAAGTTTTTTGGCTTGTTAATTGAAATGGAAATTTTACATTAGGGATGATGATTAGGAAGTCAAAGCTATTTACAGACATCTTGCTGACTCACTGATAAGCTCATAGTCTCTCAATGAAGTGGAAGGGTGAATCTGACAAATCTTTCCCAAGAGAAATGAAGCATTTGAGGGTAGAAGCGATAGCTTATGGTTTTTGTGGAACCAGGGAAAAGCAACATTTCATTTTTTGGAGGACGGGGGATGTAACAACACGGCAAACTCAGCATTTAAAAAAGTTAGTTGGGATGAGGGTAATGTGAGATTGATTCAGTGACAGGCAAATAAATCTAAAGGGAATTTGAAATGTAAAGAGATTAAATTGATTTTTAATAGTTTTCAAATATTTATGTATATTTTATAGATTTCACTGTACGTACAATAATTCACTGAGTGACCCAAACTGAGATCTGTTCAAACGATAAGTAAATTGAGGGAGACAAAGCCTATAGTGTCAGAAATAAAGAGAATCAGTAAAAATTCTCAGAAGCTGTAGGGGCCCTCAGAGAGAACCAGAGAGCTACTGAAGGCAGGAAGCAGAACATTAATTTCTTCAAAGGACAGTCAACAGAGGGAAGTGTCCAAGAGAAAGCAAGAGGAGTAAAACCAGAGAAATTCCCCAACCAGGAGTGGGTGAAAACACCCACTAAACGGAGTCAGTCCTGAGAAGCTGAGAAGCAAATATTGAAAGATTAATTAAACATTTCTGGTTTTGTCCAAAAATAAAGTACCTG